TACGTTTCTGTGACTATTGAAACGTCACAACGTCCATTTTCTCCAACCCCGAACTTCCCAGACATCCCGGGTTTCTCTTACGCATCGTTTCAACGACGACCGACCTCCGATGAAGGCGGAAGGGCGAAAAAACCAACGAACAAACTCTAACCTTCCCTTCTGACGACCTGCAACGAATAGGACACATCCCAACCCCTCCTCGCCGGCCTTTCAGCCCATGAGGCACACGCCATCATGTTCGGTCTCCTCCCAGACCTGACCCCTCGAGACGTACGCTCGAACCCCCCTTCCCCCCTTCTCCGCCTCCTTTCTCCTCCATCGTGAAGGCATGACCTCCTGCACGTTGCAAACTCTGACCTTCGGCGTGATGTGATGACTTTTGACTGACTTTTTCTCTCCCCAGTCACACTCGGTCTGGTACTCGTCCTCCCGAAACCCGCTGCACCACCCGCCCGCGCCCGACCCATCTGTCGACCACACGAACCCGCACCCCGACCATGCCGCCCAGCAGTCCTCGTCGCGCCGCGCCGGCCAGCTGCTCCTCGAGCGGTCCCAGCTCGCGCGCCTGCGCGCCGACGAGCACAACCTCGACCGTCGCCGCCTCAACGTGCAGAACTTTGGCAGCACATGGCTCAAGCCGCCCGGCGTTCCCAAGACGCTGCACCAGATGCGCGAGGAGCGGCGCGAGGCCGAGGAGCACGCCGAGGCCGTGCGCCGCGAGCAGCTGCAGCAGGAGCTCGCCGAGGCCGAGGAAGGCGGCGGCCCCGAGGAGGATGATGAGACGGCCGACATGGAGGACCTGGGCGACGGCGCGCGGGATCTCGATGAGGAGATTCCCGATGCCGATGCCGTGGGCATGGAGCTCAGTGCCATTGGCGAGTCGTCGACGGATGAAGCTTCCGACTCGGATAGTAGCAGCGCAGCGAGTGGGGATGGCGATGACGATGACGACGATGGGCCGAGGGCCGGGGACGGGCCTGGCAGGGGGGAGGCGCTGCGGGAGGAGCGCAGGGCCGAGCTCGTGCAGGCGCGGATGCGCATGGCGCGTGGCGGCGACGACGATGTGTACGGGGCCGACGAGGAGGAGATCGAGGCCGAAACGGAGGGACAGCTGCTGCTCGAGGACGAGGGCGACAGCTTCCTGCCTGTGGATGGTCAGGTCGCCGACGAGGACCTCGACATGGACGCCGACCTCGACGGCAGCATGGCTGACGGAGCCGAGCTCAGCGGCGTCTACGAGCACACGGACACCGAGGCCGAGCTGAGCAGCAGTCTGCCCTCGGACAGCAGTGACGCCGAGGACGAGGACGACGTGGGTTTCGCACCGCGGTCGTCCCTCGGGGCTGGCGTGCTGAGGCCGCCGACGAGTCCGACGATGCAGGGGCGCGGTCAGACCCACCATCCGCGGCAGGATATGGACCTCAGCAGTCTTTTGTCGGGAGGGGACAGCAGCATGCTGGGGGAGCAGTCCGCAGGCGGGGGCTGCGCCGCAGCGGTAGCATGAACAAGGCTGGGGCGTTGCTTTGGAGCGGTGCTGCTCTTTAGGCACGACGCCGCTCTTTCGGCACGACGGCAGCGCGTCTTGAATCTGGCGTTCTATGGGGGGCGCATTGGCATGATATGGGGGGCTTGGGCTACGCAAAAGGTCGAGGCCACTGCAGCCGGCGAACGGGTCTGTGTTACGATTTATGAGTAGGAAGCATTGCCTGTGCCACTGCCAGGGATGAAAGCGAGAATGCGGAGCGAAAGCATCCTTGAACATGATTCAATCTGTATCTGTGTCCTGTCGGTGTGTACTACATTATTGTTATGGAGTGGGTTGCGCCGTGGTGTTTATTCCCATGCAAATTGCCCCATTCGTGAAGAGGGGCCAGATACTTCAACGGGATATGTCCTGGCGAACTCTTTAGTGCCCTCTAATTCTTGTTTTGGTGGCATGGTGAGCAAGCAGACTACTATCGGAAAAGCTGGCCCGAGGCAAGCAAAGTGTCAAGGCCGTATTGACCTGATAGTTTCCCTGTCGGTTCATTGCCTATTATGAAAGGTAAACGACGGGAAAATCCTGCTGAAGCTCCCTGTTACGACTCCGAGTGCATGATACACAAGACTTGTTCGGTTCCTGCGAGGCATACCTAGTCTTGCCTTAACTCCTCTGTTGGGCGTGAAGAGTGCGAAACTCGTTGTCGCCGGCGCCCTAATTGGGTTCCTCTTCTTCTATTTCGAATAGGCCGGGGATGACCTTGCCAGGTATCGGAATTTCCCAAGCCGGTGTCAAGGAAGCAGAATGCCCCTTAAGTGTGCTTCCCAGCATCGTATACCAATTGCTGATCAAGTCTGGACAAATTATTCGGTGACTGCATGTTCAAGAACCGCTTTTTCGCAAGCTGACGAGGGGTTGGCACATCTGTACCTGATGTGCGGATATCTTCCAAAACCGTGACCCAAGTTCTACCGCTGAACAGAATGGAGGACTTACCAAAAGGGTGGCTGCACTGATGACTTCAGCCCTCCCACGCTGGTCTCATCCGTGCCATGGTGTAGTCGACGTTGTGTCAAGTGGCAATTGAATTCTGGTATGCATGGCGATTGTGAAGGCAGGCCGATGACAAGACGACCTCGGAACGGCACCCTCAATTTCAGGCACCAAACTTTCTGAAGAAGGTAACTCGAAGCTTTATCAACATGTCTGGTTCATGATCACTTGGAAGCTATCGCTGGGTTTATCAGGCGGGCAGCTCTTCAACGCAGCACTCAAGAATACCTCGCAAAGCGGACAAACAGGCCCCCAAACGACCATCGCGAAACAGCAAAGGACCGTCATGTCACAAAGGTTCCCGAAATGACCCATGCTACTACCTACCCGTTGCCGAGGCTGTTGTAGCGCGAGAACTTCTGGGCCACACGAAAAAGCTGGCAAAGGTCGAGGACAAAGTTTGATCCCTGCCATGATTTACCATGTCGGCCTGGAAGACTTGAAAGCCAATGGGGCAGGCTTCAGGGTGAGGTTTATATCCGAACATCAAGGTATCACAACATGACCAAGGCACTACCACGCCCATGTCAGGACGTATGCCTACTGATCGACTGCCATTGCCACACGGGCAAGCCAGCCACAAACATTTCCCTCCGATCATTCAACAGAAAGCCTTCCAGCCATGTATTATGCACTCCAAACATGACAGCCTCCGCAGAGAAAACAAATGCAGTCTCCATTTTCCAAAGCTCACGCCAAACGCCACTGGTGCACCCCCAGACCGTCCCAGAAACTCCATAGTCGACAGCCCACAAGCCAGGCACACATGCAAGCGGCCCCCGCCGGCTAAAAGACCCAGACGTAGAAGAACAGGAAGCCGACGGCGGCAAAGAAGGCGAGCCACACCTTCCAGCCGACGCCCGTCTTCTGCGCCATGACGAGCATCCTGTTCATGGTGCCGCGGATGCGCAGCCGCGTCGAGTCAAACGTGTCATTCATCTTCTCCGCGAGGGGCCGAGGAGTCGCGAATCTCGTCGCCAATGGGCGTGTGTCATCTGCGAGAAGGAATCAGCCGTACGCTCGTAGACCAGGGAGGGTAGCTGTGAAGAAGCAGGAGGGGGACATACGTCCTTCAGGATCTTGACCTTGCCCAGGATACCCTCGACCTGGGCATCGTTCTGGCTCTCGAGCTCGTTGAGCACGGCGTCGCTGTACTGGCCCCTTTGCTGCCACGTCAGCTTGCTGTTCGCCCACGGCGCCTCTCTGTTTCCTCGTCTCTCGGCGGGATCTGGGAAGCGGGGGAATGCGTTGCACACGTACTTGCGGTTTGGGGTCGCCGACCGGAAGCCGCCCGGCGCGCCAAAGGCAGGCGAAGATGTCGCGCCGTTGCCGTTGCCGCCGGCATAGCCATAGCCGTAGCCGCCGCTGGGACCGGCGCTCGGTGGACGACGGGAGCCGTCGTTGTAGCCTTCGAAGAGGGCGCTGCGGGAGTCGCGCTGGTGGAGGGAGGATGGGCCGAATCTGGGAACCGGGCCGTGTTAGCTTGGGGGGAGGCCGCTGTAGAGGAGGCCGCTGCGAGCGTTGCTGCGACGCAAAGAGACCATTGCGTTCTGTCGCTGGAAAGGGGGGCTCGACGGACCTTGATGCCATGATGATCGGGTTCTGCTGATGTCGTCGTCTATAGGTCGTGGTGATGCTGGTCGCAGAGCGGCGCAGGGAGATGCATCCGCGTTCGTGATGTCCAGCGGTGCTTCGAGTTTCGTGTCTTGTGAGACAGCGATGAGTCGTGGGATAGGTAGAGACTTTGATGTTTCTCGCTTTCCCGGGGGGGGGATAAAGGGTCGTATTGATGGCCGTCGCTGACAGGGTTCTGAACTTTTTGCGACCCCCCGTCGAGATCAGATTGCCGCTGTCCAAGTATAGATAGTTGGCTGATAGAGCACAGGTGTTCATTAAAGTCGACGGGCCCATGTGGCGTCACCGTCACTGGCTGCACTCAGTCCACTGTTACGTTTAGGCGGCGCAAGGGGAGGGAAGAGGGGCTCCAATTAGGCATGGCCGAACATGGGCCAATGGCGTGTTGTTGCCCATTGCTGCTTCGACTTGGTCCCCTCGTGATGGCTTCATGTCCCTCTTGATCAATCAATCTCAACAACGTGGAGCAATCATCTCGGGAACAGCTTCTGCTGCAGCTGCCGCCGAACGGCATGCAAGTCTGCCGAGTGGTAATTTACACCTTCATCACGTTACGAGACTGCATAGTTGTTGGCCGCAGGTTATGGGACGCACACCGCCACATGGGTGGATGCCAGCCTCCCTGACCACCACTGTGAAATTGCAAGCTCCCGCTGCGCAACACATCTGCGTCGCTCCCCTGCAAGCGAAAGTTCCGTGGTTGCGGGAAGCAGCCTTAACAACATGTATTCATGGGTCTTAGCTACCACAGCGCGAGGTGCGACAGCAAGACTCGATCCCCGACCACTGGATCCCAGGCAAGAGAGAGGCCTGTCCAGAAGTCGCATCGTGCCTCGTCCGTCGCGCCATCTTCCATCACGCTCCTGTCCAAGCTCAAATCGCATTCATCATGTCATCATCCCCCGGCACTCCGGCCAGCCATAACTTTTTGTCTTGTTCGTCGTGTGTTGCCGATTGCCCCTTTTCCCTTCTTCAGGCCGAAAATGAAAACAATTTACTCTCAAAAGACCCGTAAGCAGGCTGATGCAGGCTTAGTCGGTGTCCATCTTGGAGTCCTTGTCCTCGGGCGCGTTGAAGTCCTCGTCGTCATCGTCCTCGTCGTCCTGGGCAGGGTTCTCCTCGGCGGCCTTGGCCCAGTCGATGACACGGCCACGGGTGCGGCGGCCGCCCTCGACAATGTTGTTCAGGTCAATCTCCTCGAGGCCGTCCTCTTCCTCGATGGCTGCGCAAGTCCTGTCAGTCACGGTGTTGTGTAGGTAGGAGCGCGGGGCACAATGGTGGGGGGGTAGGGATGGAAAGAGAGAGGGAGAGGAAGGCAGTCGCGTCTTACCGGGCGGGTTGGTCTGCCGGGGCGCAAAAATGTTAGCGATGCAATCACAATGGAGGATCAAGTTGGATGCGCCGGTTGCGCACTTACAGTCTCCTCCTCGTCGCTGGAGCTGCTGTCATCCTCGTCCATGGCGCTGTCCTCGACGCTGGTCTCGGCGACACCCTTGCCCTTGTCGGCGGGGGTCTCCTCGGCGAGCTGGTTGTTGGTGGGCTCCTGGGCAGACATGGTGTCGGTTGTGTGTTTGGTTTGGGGAGGGGGAGGATAAAGCTGTGGGTTGAGTTTTTCGCGTGTTCGGTGGTAAGCAGAAGGAAATAGAGAGTAGGCACGGAGCTGGGCTGCACGACGGGGTGGGAGCGTCAAGTGGAGGTGAGGCGGCGCGAAGTGGGTTTTATCACTGGCGCCTTCTTTTGCTGCCGTCGCTGGCGCCTTCCCCAGCACAGCTCTCGCCAAAGCTTGCGAGCTCAGCGGTTGGCGGCGGGCAGCTCCTCCCTAGCAACCATTCTGCTGCCTGTTTCGGCCTAGTGCGGAGCTCCCTCGATTGCTGACAGGCACGTGACTGTTGGGAGAAGACATGTCGCCCCTCGTTGACCTGAGGGAGGTAGATTGAGCATCAAGGGAGCGACCGCAGAGTCAAAAAGCTGGGGAGTTCATCTCGCTGTTCTAGGCAAGTGGTGGCTGGAGGAGCCTCTGCGGGCCTCTCTCGCAGATCAAGTATGCCATAATCCGTCACTAGAGCATACGTCACTCAACACCGGATCACCAACCACCACTGTCTTGTTTGCGTGATGTATTAGTAGTGTGTTTCTCTTCATCCGTTCTGTCCCGTCCCGAAAGAGTGGCCGAGCTATAGCCCGCCTCCTGGTTCAGATCGCGTGCCTCGCATCACGAACGACAAGCTGATCGTTGTGTCTTCTGCTTGCCCTCGACAGAGACAGAAGCTCGCAGGAGTCTGGTCCATCAAATGAAACTTGACCTGCCAAGATCCCGCAAGACAACACCAACCCTCCCAGTTCTGTCCGTCCCGGCGCGTCGACTTTACGATGGCGGCCCCGCAAGGATGAAGAAGGACAACCAGTCAACCAACCACCCTGTCCGCCCGCTCATTTATCCCCAGACGTAAGCGTCAGCAGCACAACCGCCGCAATCACCCACCAGTACCTGTGAAAATCGTCAGCAAACCACTCCCAGCAGCATCAGAAGGGGAGAGGGAAGGGGTGGAGAAGGGAGAGAGAGAGGCAGCAGGACCCGCCCCCCTCGCCAAAGCCAGAACTCACTTTTGCAACAGCGTCTTCTCCGCCTCAGGCTCCTTCTTCCTCCCATCCACCAGCACAACAGGCTTGTTGACGACAGGGGTCTCTCCCGCGCCGCCGACGGCAACAACGGCCTGGGGCCCAAAGTCCCGCGTGGTGGCCGGCGTCGATGCACACGCCGCGCGTCCGCCGGCAGGTCGGGCGCCTCGTAGGACGCGACGGTCGCGGACGACGGCGTCGAGGCGTCGTAGTGGATCTCGGCGAGCGGCAGGGGCGGCGCGGCGTCGCCTGTCGAGGGGCTGATGGGCTGGTAGTGGAGGTGTGCGATGCGCGGGCTGGCTGTGGCGAGGACCGCGGCGGCGAGGGCCGTGAAGAGAGCAGTGGCCCGCATGATTGTGGCTTTATTCGGGGAGCATGCGCATGCAGATGGGCGGCGATGCTGATGCCGATGCTGATTGACGGCTTTCGTAGGATCTCGAGGGGAAGTCGTGGGCGCCGCAGAGAGCTCGTTGGTGGTGGACCGATTGATCACGCATCTACCTGACGAAACGTCGCTGGTCCGGAGTTACTTCGGCTGGGGAGCAAGCCGCAGGCAATCCCCACTCTCACAGGACTTGCATGGTGTTGAACTACAGGGTTGGGTGGACTGCGCGGGTACAATTCAAATGTCACAGATGGAAAAGACTTCCCAGGCAATGCTCAAGCTCGCAAGTCTGCAATTTTATTCTCTCGTCTTTGCTCATATCTTCTTCTGCCGCCAAGTGTTGCAAGCCTCGGAGTCGCGTCTGGACAGTGAGCCCACCCACTCACTCTGCGGGAGAGTCAAACGTAAGAATCTTTCTTGTACAACCAAGCCAAAAGCCACAGCCCAAAAAATTCCAGAAACCTATTTGTTTTGATGACACGAAATCACACCATGCTCGTGCAAAAGAAATCTCTGTCTATGGACCATCATTTCCCTGTTGTGTAGCAAAGAAAACCAAGCAAATCAGCGAAAACACCCTTTGTGTCTCTCTTGAGGTGAAAACAGGTAAGAGGCCGTTAAGGAGAATCAAATCCCAAGCAATGTAGCAAGCATGCGTAAAACGAGTGTGTCGTCACGTGTAGACCGCCATGTCGTATCACTCTTTCTTGAAAATCAGTTGCAAAATAGGGCCTTCTACCCCGGTCGAGTGCCCAACGCCCAGAGCCAGAAACCGCCAGTCTGGTCTCGAATTATGGTAGCGTCCCATGAAGCTTCGACCGTGGCCGTTCTGCGGACTTGGGAGGCGTTTGTTTGTCGTAAGGACGCGATCTAAAACAATCGATGCAAAGAGAGTGTGTGCGGTGGCGTTGACTAAATCGTCTATGGACAGCCAAAGACTCTCCTGCTCATCGAGTGTTCAGCGAGAGGCCCTGGAAAGCAGGCCAGTCACCTGTAGGTGTCAAGGTCGAAATACTGGAATCGTGTGGAGTCGAGCCCTGAGGTGGCGTCTGGAAACGACCCCGCATCGCATAGTCACCGGATTGCGGGTAGCTGTACGTGTCCAACGACGGCATGACGCCGGCTGAGTATGGCATGTTTGTCTGGCGGTTTGCGTTGCCGACAGCACCGAGGTGAGCGTAGGGATAACCGGATTGCGGTGCCTGACCGTAACCGGACCCTGGCGCGGGCAGACCTCTATCGCCTCCTACAGGTGGACTGAACGTGTTAGGTAATCCGCGAGCGGCAGGGTTGGCTCCGGTGAAGCTGGCATGCTGCTGCTCGTGCTGCTGCTGCTGCTGCTGCTGCTGCTGCTGCTGCTGCTGCTGTTGCTGCTGCTGCTGCTGAGGAGCAGGCGGCTGCTGCTGGCGCCGTTCAGGGTTCTGCGCGGCGCGCTGAATACCGACAGCACCAGGTCCAATGCCACTAGGAGCCTGAATACCGAGGGTCGGACTAGCGAATGAGGCAGGATTGATGGCGGACATCCAGATCCTGGTCTTGTAGATCTTGAAAAGGTCGGTGACGAGGGAGTTAAAATTGATGTATGCGTCGGCGAAATAGTAGAAAGTCAATTTCTTCCAATCCCTGAAAGCACAGGTTAGTATCCAACGCGAACCTGCAGGTCCGGGGGGTCAACCTACATTTGGAATTCGGCATCGAGAATTTCCATGTTGAGGCCGTGTTCCTTAACCTTTTGCATGCACACACGTTTGGCCTTGGCCTCGTTGCCCTCCTTGTCGCGGAGGGCATGAATCTCGTGACTTTGGGCGAGACGTTTGATGAGCTTGGGCTTAAGCTCCCCGGCATTAGCCTCTTGCATGTGGTGTTGACTTGGAGGTCCCATGCCGCCAACCGCACTACCCTGAAGTCCGTTGGCGGCAGCCATGAGACCGGCGCCTGTGCCATCTTGCGCGGCGGCGGCGTTTTGCGAGTACATCATGAGCCATTTGTACTGCTCTTCGGCATAGTGCTCTTTGAGTTCCTTCGCCGTCTGCCAGTCCACGTTGTCCCGCATAACCGTTCCCAGGTCAGTTCCGCGATCGGCTTCGACAATGACGAGGTCTCCAGGCTTCACCGTCAGGCCGGTACCTTCCTGAATATAAAAGACGTCTGCTCGAGCACACTTGAAGACCACAATATGAAGCAGCTGGTTGTGCCGCGGTTGCGACATGCCGTAGACGTTCCGATGAGGCGAAGGGGCGCGATTGGCATACTGGGGTTGCATACCATATGGCGAGGGGAAAGGGTTGTTGAAGGATAGGCCTTGGGGAGGTGCAGCAAGCCCACCGCCGGGTGTGAAGAAAGAGGCCGTTTCAGGCATCATGGCAGCCTGACGCTGTTGGAAAGAGCGCATAGAGGCATCGGCAAAGGTGCCAGCGGAGTACCCTGTGTTCTCGGCATACCCGAGCCCGTAGTCAAGCACCTGCGCGGACTCAGCGACGGGCGTGGTTTCCAATGGCCCAAGCGACTCGTTGATGGAGCTGATGGATGCTTGTCGGGTGGGCACGTCGGCGAAAGAGTGCCTTCTGCTCTGTTGCCCGTCGCCGGGGCCACCAAATCCGAGAGAACTGTGCCAAAAGGCTTTCTTTACGTTTTCCAGCTTTCGGTTCTCGTAAGGTGACCGAGAAATGCCAGAGCCCAATTCGCTCATCCGTCTGTTCAGAGCCCTTTTCGCGGCCATATCGACGCTGTCGCCACCCTCATCGAGTTCGTCAATGGCGTAATCGGATTCTTCCGGAACAGAGTCTCTCAGGCCATATCCGTTTCCCATGCCGTAGGAAGCCTGAGTCGACGCTCTCGGTCGATGACGCGCGCTAGCATACTGCTGCTGTTGTTGTTGCTGTTGCTGCTGCTGGGCCTGCTGTTGCTGCTGGGCCTGCTGCTGGGCCTGCTGTTGCTGTTGCTGCCGGAGCATGGCGTTTTCGCGGGTGAGCATCTCGATAGTCTTCGCCTCGACACTCTGGTGCATCGAGCTATGCATGGACTCGGATGTGCTGCCATCATCGTCATCATCTACCTCGTTTAGTTTGCCGAGCGGTCCTCCTTCGTTCGACATCTCACTCAGCATGCTCGGCCGCGAGGGACGATGCTGCAATCCGGAATGCGGGTGGCCGCGGCCGCGATTCAGAATGGATGAACTGGACAGAGAAGGGGTGGTACTGTCCGGGTCTAGTTGACCCACAGAGTACGACTGCGAGCGGTACGTCTTGGGTGTTGGGTGCAGGGGGATGGCGAACGGAATCTGTGAGGTAGGCCCGTTTTCGCGGGGGCCTGGAGATGTTTGACCGAACCCGGCATCGACCCCAAAAAAAGAGCTTCCAGCTGCCGAGCCCGGGGGCAATGTAGATGTTGGCGAGGGCAACACCTCGGTCAGTCGTGAGGGCGGATCTTTACGATCCGAGTTCCAGATGGCCGTTCCCCAGGGAAATGCTGCTGGTGCCGGGCCACGGCCGATAATGTTGGATGGCTGAGCCCAGGAACCTGCGTTGGTATCGGCCGACGGAGTGGAGGGGTGAGAGGCTGTGGGAGACATTGAGTTGCTAGCGAATGAACCCTGACGCGGGCGGATAGGCTGGGTGGTGTCGTTCAGCCAAGAAGCGCGCCGTACCTTTTGAGGGGGAACAACGGGTTGGGGGACCTCCTGCCGATTCTGAGTCTCATCATCGTCGGAACTGGCCAGTGCCTCGGAATCAGGCGTCGATCGGCGATTGAGCTTGTCGAGGAAGATGGCCTGGCTGCTAGGAGCTATTGCAGCGAAGCCACCTTGGCCCGATTTGGAGGAGGAACTAGGTTTCGCTGTACTAGAACTCATTGTGACGGTCGTGAGTCGACACTGATGTGGGATGCGCTGTTGATGCGAAGATCACAGTTAAAGGGCCAGAGTGGTAGCTGCTGGCCTTGTATGCGTTCGGTCGGGATGGAGGCCGCCCGAGGTAGAAATGAGAAGAGCGCCTCCGATGTAGGCTCCAAGCTGGAAGGAGGCTTGGCGAGTGTCCGAATCGAATAAGTGCGAGGCTCTGACGCGGTGAGTCGTCTATCGCGTGTTAGTCGCGCGCCCGAGAAGGTAGTGAAGTCTCAGAAGCAAGTCAGGTGGTATCGCGCGCCAGCCTTGTCTGAGGTGTTCCAGATAGGCAGGCGCGTGCAGGTTCAGTAGGCAACCACGTGAGAATTTGCCAGCTGGCAGTTTGAGCCGTTTGAGCCTCAATGCCAGATTGGGTGTTGTCGCTGAAGTATGGCCTCGAAATCAGAGCTGGCGCGGGCGACGACTCGGGGCACAGCGACGAGAAACGGTGCTTTGACTTGGGTTCGTCGGGGTGCAATGTAGCTGTGCTGGCAGACTGGCTTTGGGGGGGTAGGTAGGTAGGAAGGTGGTGGCAGAAGGGTGGAGCCGTTTTCGGAGAATTGGGCTTCTGGCCTTGCAATAGCCTTGGGCGCAAGCGGCAGGTTCGTGGTAACAAGAGGTACAAGTGGAGCAGAATGATGGCCAAATATTGCCGCTGAGGGTTTGATTGCGTACGTACCAGTTGATTGTGTCTTTGAATTCGTGTTTAGTGGGTAGGAGTGGGCACTATTGGCGAGGGGCGCAATGGTCGGGATGTCGTTGTGTATTTGTTCTGGAGCAGAAGGAAGAGTTGTGTGGCGGGTTGGTCTGCCTCCTGGACCAGGGATATCAGGTTGGAGAGAGTGTGAGAGTGAGAGAGAGAAAGAGAAGAGGCGGACGTGGCAGGTTGCAGGCGTGAGTTTGAGGCGACAAGTCCTGGGTTGTGATTGATTGGGCTCTTCCTTCTGAGGTGGTGAATCGAAAGTGGCGGGCTAGTGCCAGATGCAATTATGGCCAGATTAGGAGGTGGTGAGATGGACAGGCGAAAGGGCAGGTTGTTTGGGACGGCGTATTATGAATGGGTGGGAACGCGAGGTGACGAACGAAGCGTGAGGCAAGACAAGTAGGTGTTGGGAGGGTGGTGGGTGTCAGTGTCAGTGTCAAGAAGCCGTCTAATCCAGTTCGTCTAACCCAAACAACGCAAGGAAAGGAATTCAACGATTCGCCAGGCGGACGGAGGTGTGTTGCGCAAGAACCATTTGCCTCCACTGCAGCTGTCCAACCTCGAATGAAGAGTCCCCTGTGTCGTGTCGCTCCTGTCGTGCCGTGGCGTGCGTTTGGGGGTTGGTTGGCGTGGTGCAAGACAGGACGCGAGCAGATGGATGGGCGAGTGAGGTGAGGAGAGCGAGTCCAAGTGTAGTAGTGTCAGGGACGGGCTACATGCGTCGCATGGCCGGGACTGGTCCTCTTTGACCTCTTGCCCTGAGCTTGGTCGCGAGCTAGCGGGCTGTACAAGCCGTTACTGAAAATGTAGCCGTGTGTTGAGTCCTGAACGACGTTCTATGAGGCAGAATGTGGTGGTAGCTACGAGATGGATGACCTTTGCTGGCTAGGCAGCGAGGAGCAACGACGAGGAGGTAGCTTTCGCGTGGTGAGGGAACGCGTG